AAAGATGGAGATGGTGGGCGTGACGCCGTACATCAAAACTCGCATGACGAGCTCGGTCGTCTCATCACTGACCAGCTGGACAGTTGTCTGGACATCGTCTTCAGCACCAGCCGTACTGCTGTAGTTCTTCTGGTGTACACCTGCTAGGTCCTGCATTTGATTGTTTCCAAGCGTAACTTCTATCAACCCAGAGTGAACGTGATTTAGTTTTCTAGTCGATTACCTGTAATAGAACGAATATAAATGTGTAATACTTCATCTACGCCTTTTATAATAATAAAACTTGAAATATTGTTATTAATATAGTTAATCGTAAAGGATTAAGCTGTCGTTTGTTATTGTTCATACTTTTATTTTAAATGTGTGAATTTTTTATTAATTTTTTTTGCCGTTCGTGTTCAAGACACATGGGGCAGATAAAGAAGAGTTCATTTGTTTAACTTAAATTGACAAACAAGGAGATAATGTAGTCAGCACCATGCCCAGCCGCCTTTACTTTCTCTACCGAATTATATTTTACAGCTTTTAAACGAACGACATATATTTTACAGGAAAACTATTGACATGCATTTATAACACCCTCGCTCATCCCTTCATATGCCGAAGTCGAAAATCACATGAACTCTACTTCATCTGCCCTGTGTATGGTTATAGCAAAAATGGGAATTGACCTTTACTTTCTTAGTGAAACCAACGATCCGTGACCAGCTCACACTAAACGGCCAGCCGTTAGAGAATTAAATTATGAAATTGGTAATCTTTTAATTAATTTTTAGTGACAATTATATCAATTATTAGATTAAAAATTAGATATTCTTTCACTGTCTCCTAAGAAGAATGTAACTCGAAAAAAAAATCAAAATAGCTTCTTAACGGTGAGAAACAAACCAATCAATATACAAACAACTAAATAGCCTGTTTGGATTAAATAACACCATAGTAAATCCTCTGTAATATCTCCTACCATCAAACTACCACCGATAGTAATCTACCTACTCTGTGACATCACCTACCATCTAACCACCACCAATGGTAACCTACCTACTCTGTGACATCATCTACCATCTAACCACCACCAATGGTAACCTATCTACTCTGTGACATCACCTACCATCCAACCACCACCAATGGTAACCTATCTACTCACTACAACTGCACGCAAGTTTCAGGGTCAGCCAAGTATAAAAAAAATTATCCTCTACCTTTAAACTTTTTCAATTATTTAAAGAAAACTTTACTAATCAGACTCAACAAGTAGTTCGTCATTAAATAAAATACAGACTAAATTGCCGAGCTCTCAATTTTTAAATGCATAAACCAACTACCAATTAGATCTAACTTGGATGTGATTGAGATTTCAACTGACGTTTGGTGAATGACCAATCAACTTCTTGCCTCAGGCGTGACGTTGTCACGTGCCGACATAAGTCTGAGCGTCACGTCACGGAAGCGACGTCACGTCGATGTAAAAAAAGATTGCATTAAATGAGTCGATTTTATTTTTCAGCGAAACAAAACGTCGATAATAATTTTCTTCGCTATCATACCAGACTTCACCAAACGCATTTATTTTAATTCCCGAATTAAACATAAACGTACATGACAAAAATAGTATAACTAATTCTAGATCGATACAGCGTATAAATTAAATTTCACTACATCGCGAACCAAACTTTAAAACTTTTAATTACCTGATCAATGTCGACATATTCGTGATTTCGTAAAACTACTTATTATTTAATTTTGTAATGTCATGATACTTCTAGTCCTCTATAGCTGAGAAAACTTGGTTAATTCATTAATTGGGCCTATTTTCTATTCCTGAGCACACAAAAATTTGACTTAATAATAATAGTATCTAATTAGTGCGCAGAGTGTTAAATCAAGTTGACAAATAAACAGAATATTTTGAGAACCACTTTCTTAACATCTCAGAGAAAATAAATTAAATGTTCCAGTATTTCAGGATATTGAGTATAATCAGCTAGGTTTGTAGCAGTTGTTGTATATTGGTGTAGAGTCCTACATCAATAAGCTGACAGTGACAATGAATGTAGGTGTCCACTACAGCAGGCGTATGTACAACCTGAATGTCCTGTACCACACCACCCTCGCCATCAGCAACATCACTTACCTCACCAGCTACAACAGCGTGCCGAAACTTCTCTACGAGATCATGTCGGATGTTGAAGGTTTCCCGTACGTCCGCTCCGTGTCGTACTTCCTGTATGTGCTGTACCACATCTTTCACGTCATGGACTACGGGTCGGGCGGGGTTTCTCTCACCCTGCCCATGCTGATCACAGTGGAGAGGCTGGTTGCCGTGTTTCTGCCTCTCCACTTCAAGCAGATCGTAACCCCGTCACGAACATGGGCGGCCGTCTGTTGTGTCACAGTGTTCTGGTACATGTTCTGGCACATGTTCTGGCACATGTTCTGGTACTTGTTCTGGAATATGTTCTTCATACACATGTCTCTTTTCTTGACATTCGAATACGAAATCAATACCGAATTCTACGCCTCGTTGTGTTACGCCCACGTAAATATAAAACTTCTGTATGACTTTACCGTGTTTGAATCTTTGGTCATCGAGGTTAGGATTAAGATTGTTATCATCAAGCGCCACTGTTTTCCTCTAAACTTTTTGTCAAAGATAGTTAGTCTACAGACATATTAATGAGGCAGATGAGGCGCGATAGCTGGGGACAGCCACTTTTCTAGGAAAGACAACTCGATAGCTGGGGACAGCCACTCTTCTAAGAGAGACAACTCGATAGCTGGGGACAGCCACTCTTCTAGGAGAGACAACTCGATAGCTGGGGACAGCCACTCTTCTAAGAGAGACAACTCGATAGCTGAGGACAGCCACTCTTCTAGGAGAGACAACTCGATAGCTGGGGACAGCCACTCTTCTAGGGGAGACAACTCGATAGCTGGGGACAGCCACTCTTCTAGGAGAGACAACTCGATAGCTGGGGACAGCCACTCTTCTAGGAGAGACAACTCGATAGCTGGGGACAGCCACTCATCTAGGAGAGACAACTCGATAGCTGGGGACAGCCACTCTTCTAGGAGAGACAACTCGATAGCTGGGGACAGCCACTCTTCTAGGAGACAAATCGATAGCTGGGGACAGCCACTCTTCTAGGAGAGACAACTCGATAGCTGGGGACAGCCACTCTTTTAGAAGAGACAACTTACTCCATAATCAAACAACTGCCGCCTTTTAGTTTGTTCTTGGCAAATAAAAAAAGAAATGCAGACTGAAATCGGAGTCAATGGCCTCAATGGCGCATAACCAGTTGACACGTACACTTAATTATGTTGGAGGGGATCCCTTCCAACACCAAAATTAAGAACGAAGAAGAAGAAGACATTAATTACTATTTAACCAGAGAACATGGATATCAGTTGAATCATGTAGATAAACAGATCATAACCCGTGTATTTACCTAATGTGATATAGACTTAGTCTAACAAAAACTAACGAAATCACACCAACAAAACTGGCCACTCCACAGTGTGCCAGGTGGCACGCTCGGTTATTTTAATTGAGTTTTAATTACCGGCAGGCATTTTAAAGAGAGCTTAATTAGAGTTAGATTACAAGAGAGCCACACCTTTGTTTGTTTGTTTTTTAATTACTGC